GTCCTTGTGTCATGCGGAACAACAGATCCCTGGCAACCCTAACCCTGGGGGTGAATCGACGCTTGGCTCGTCCAGGACACTGGAGTCCTTCGTCACTACAAGGGTAGACCTGCATACGCGTACTAGTATCTACAACCTCAGCGGCTAGCAGCACGATATCCTGCTGCGCCACGAATACGAGAATGGAATTCCGATCGGAATGCGAATATTTTCTGCGTTGAAATATAATTCTGAAACTCTATTCTCCAAATATACACTTGTTGTTTGTAGTGTGGCACGATAGACGCGCAAATAATCATTTAGGAATTTCGATTTGACGAGGCTAATAAAAATGGCCGGCGCTCGGTATCGCAGTTGTGAAATTGCAAAAGGATGACGCAGATGATTCCCGATGGGGACGTGAGCCTCTACTGGGGCGACGAGCTCGACTCGGTGGACATGGCCGACGTCATGGCCTCGGCTCTCTTGGTGGCGTCCGACGCCGATCAGCTTCCCGTCATCTCGGAGGCATCGCTCTTGGACTTGCTCTTGGACGATACGACTGATCTCTCGATGCTCCTCGACTTTGAAAAGACACCGGACGAGCTCCACATGCAGTGGACGTCGTCGGTGGAGGCGAAGGCGTCAACCCGACCTCGAAAGCTCTGCTCGCACCCGGGCTGCGGCAAAACGGCGCGGGTCAAAGGCCATTGCACAGCGCACGGGGGGCGTCGATCGTGCAGCGAGCCTGGCTGCACAAAAGTGCCTCAAGTCGGTGCCAAGTGCTCCAATCACGGTGGCTTCACCAACTGTACAGTGGAGGGCTGCAAGAAGCGAGCGCAGTCCAAGGGTCTCTGCAAAACCCATGGTGGTGGCATGCGTTGCCAGGCCGACGGCTGCACGAAAGCCGTGACCTCGAACGGCCGTTGCCGATCGCACGGAGGTGGGTCCAAATGCTCGGTCGCAAACTGTATAAAGTGGGCCCAGCGGCGAGGATTGTGCACCTCGCACGCCAAGCAGATGTAAGAGATGCATACAGTGTTTTTATCTATCGAAGGAAGGGTTGCAGTCGAGCGAGCTAGACAATGGATTCGTCTACAAGGGCTGGATGGTAACCTTATCGTCGGTCATGACGGCCTTGGCGCCCATTTGAGCCAAGTCGACGTTGGACTGGACGCCCTGCGGCGCAAGCGCCTTGATATATTCTTGGTTGGCCTCACACCCTGCACCAAATATTAAGATATATAATATCCCATTCTCGACGCACCTTCGCAGACGTGGCGCAGTGCCACCAATGCCCACTCCCGGATCATGGGGTTGGTCTCGTCAATGTTGCAGCTAAAGTAGTATTGCGTTCGGGATCTTCATCGCACACTACTCCATATGCATGTGCGCACCTGTTCAAGAGCACTTCAATGCCGCCGCACGACCGCATGAGATCTTGGACGGCAGGATTGCGGTGCACAAGGTTGCCAAGCACGCGTACACCAGCCGACTTGTACCCATAGTAGTAGTCCACGTCTCTAATTCAGAATCTACAAACAAATGCAAAAACCAAAAGCGTACCCGTCCTCGTCGGTCGGCTTGTTGGTCAATTTCCCACTCACGGGACGGGCCGCGGCCGCGCGGTGCATCTGGTGTACGAGTGCGGGCACGAAGGCAAGAACGTCTGCTTGCACTGCCGCGTCGGTGAGCGACGTCGGCGGCAACGTCGTCGTCAGCGTTCCGAGAATGTGCAGCATGAGCTTGGACGCTTCGATCTCCATGACGCGCCACATGGCCTCGCGGTCTGCAGACGGCGGCGCGTCATCCACGCCAGCATCCTTGGTCGCATGGAGAGCGACAAACTCGGACAGAAAGAATGGCAAGAGAGACGGGTCGTCCGTCGCGTGCACCTGCACCTTGGTCGCTGGCTCGTCGTCCGTCGCAAGACACATGTCGAGCATGCGCAGGAGCAGAATCTGCTCCGGCGTGAGCCGAGACCACAAGGCGCTACGACCACATGAGCTGGCTCCAACCGCGCGTCGTACCTCAGAAGAGATGCGCTAAGGCTGCGATACATGGCACTCGTGTGCTGGCGCTGGAAGAGCTGTTGAAAGAGCAACACGATCCACTCAAACGCTGCGTCCAC